CCATAGGATGAAGAAATCAATTAAAAAAGGTGCTGAGCTTAATTATGCTAAAATAGTGTTTATTAAAATGTGTGTGATGTAGTTAAATCACTATCTGGGGGAAGGTTTTTAGGTTTAAATGGACTTGAACTATTCAAAGTTGCTCGATTAAAGTCAAAATACAAAATTCAACCAGTTTGCTATATCTTTGATAGTTAGGCTATTAAATTTTGGAAAAAAAACCTATTTATAATAGGACTAAAAATATCAAATACTGAGAAATTAAAAACCAGAAAACTCTATAACATAGTGAGAAGTGAAAGCCCCAAATAAATAGACCCCAAAACGAATACAAACAGGCCCATGTATGAATAAGTGCTTGGTACACATGTTTTCAGATATAACATTGCAGAACAGTGAGGGAAAGAATGGACTGTTCAGTAAATAATGTTGGGACAATTTGTCATCTACATGGAAAAAGATAAAATCATATCCCTTAAGTAGAAAAACTTAATCCCAGGATTAAGAGCCCTAAATGTAAAAAGTTAAACTGTAAAACTTTTTTTTTTAACATAAGAGAACATTATTATAATCTCCAGGAAACAAAGAATTACTTCAACAAGATGCAAAACACAAAATAAATCAAGAAAAAATGGATACGTTTGATAGTGAGAAAAAAAAAAGCTATATGTTAAAGCACCAGTAACTAAATGAAAAGATTAACCAGAGAGTAGAATAAAATCTTTGCTGCACATTTAAATGCCAAGAGTTTGGCCTCCAAATACATAAATAACTCCTAATTATTAGCAATGGAAAGGGCAAGACCACAAGAGATCAACAGGCAAAGAGAGCTGTCCATGCAATTCACTCAGAGGTAAATATAAACTGCCAATTAAAACATGGAAAAGATTCACAAACTCACTAGTCAAAACGAGATCCTATTTCGTACCCCTTAACAACTAAACACACCAAGTTTTGCTAAGGGTGTAGGGAAACAGGTACTCTGACACACTGTTGGTGCAACTCTTTTGGGGTCCATTTGACAATTCCTGATACAATTTAACATATGCTTTCTCTCATAGCCCTCTTTGACTTCTACTAGGAATTCCAAATCTAGTTGTCACAATGGTACCTAGACAAAGATGTTACATTCCAACCTGGTGAAAAAGACCATGGAAACCAATTTCCTGTGTTTAGGGGGATGGAAAAATAAACTGTGCTTTATTTACATAACTGGATGCTATGCAGCAGCTATCACATCCATATGTATATGCATGAATCACATCTATATGTGTCAACATGGATGAAATCCAAAACCGTAATACTGAGTGATGCAAGCAAGCTCCAAAAGGTACCTATTAATGCGAAACCATGCATTGCATTTGAGGAACCACAAAACAATAATATTTATTTTTCATAGTGACTAACACACACACACACACACACAGAATGTGTAGATACAAATCCATGCATGGACGAGGGGGCAAAGAACATTTGTGTGACTTTATTCCCTAAAGGGAGAGACATTACTCTTACGTTACTTAACGCTACTGTTATGGGACTTCTTGTTTGTGTGGAACGTCGTTTCCCAATTCAACTTTCCTTTTACAATTTAAAAATGCAATAAAAAATGCAATCAGTTGGGGAAGCATCCTTCCTAAATGCAGCTGTTATCCAGCTCCTGATATTTGGCTTGTGGCATTTCTGCTCTGTCTGGAATTTGATGGCAGAAAGAAGAAGAACAAGCCTTATCTCAAACCATGAACCTCACCTGCTGCCCATACCAGAGAAGGAGCTCTCTCCAGCCCATCTGCCAGGTCAATGGCCTGAGGCAACAGCAATGTGCCTCCCAGTTTCAAACTGACGGGCTGGGCCTGGGAAGGGCGACAAGCTCCAGGATGCCCTGGACTGCCAGGCCTGGAACTGGATGTGTCATCGTGGAGCCACAGAGGGATTTCACGCAGGCCACTTTAGAACAAATTGTGTGGGTGGACAGTTCCACTCTGCACTCACAATGTGGGGGCATCACCACTACTATCCCCCTGTTTTGAGAAGCTGCTAAAGTAAAATTGCAGAAATTTAGAGCAAAATATGTTCTTAACTCATGCAGCCCCAAGATGATAAGTATGATGGACCAAAGGCTAAATTTAGCCGGCACTAATACACTATTAGGCTCTTGTTTGTTCAGCCCTTTACCAAAAACACTGTGCGTTTTGTAAAGTTTTGACTTATTGGCTAACATCTAGAGTTTGAGAGATTGAAACTTCCCCCTCCCCACTTCTCTCCTGAAGAAAGCAGGAATTCTGGCGTTACTGAGTTGAATTCTAGAATGCCAGTAAATGGTTGGCCCTGAAGACTGGCCTCTACCCCATGGCCTGACTCATTATCTCTCCTGCTGGGCTCCCAGGGCTTTCAACTCCCTCATTTTACAGATGAGAAATCTGAGGCTCAGAGAGGTCTAGTGCCCTGCCCAATGCCAGAGTTGCCCTGTGGAGGAAGCCATGCTGGCACCATGCCCACCGGTGACCAGTTAATTTAGGATTCGTTTTCTCTACACACACTTCATGGTTTCTAATGACACTTTTTATATGATTCAGCAGGTGCAATGGAAATGCTAGTTCTTACTTCAAGCCATGATCAAAGTAATACAAACGGATTAATTGTATTATCAGCAAGAACTCATCAAGATTTCGCCAAACACAAGACAAAAAATTTTTACATTTAAAGAGTAATAAGGGAATATGATGATATAATTAAAATTTGGTATAATTAGAGATTGCATGATCACAGAGCATCACTTTTTCAGGCTGATCTCTCCATACCCCCTCTTTGTCCACCCTTCCCCTGTCTCTCCTCTTCTTTGGAGTCTAGAAGGATGTATAAACCCTGCTTGGGACCTCTGCCCCAGGCCTTCCCACAACATACACTTTCTTCAGGTTTTTAGCTTGTTGTATTTATTTGCTTCTGGATTAAAGATAGCAGACAATCTACACGGACTTGGATGAGTTTACCTTACCATGCCCAGAAGTATTGGGTTGGGCATTCCTAGCCTATGCAAAGTGCATTTTTGTTAGAACCGGCTACATGAAGAGATTACATGGGTTACAAAATCTCTTAGAATGTAAAACACTCAATATAAATGTGAATTGACAGGGGGATGGCTCAATTAACTTTGGCATATTCATATACTGTGGAAAACCATGCATCAGGACAAAAAGAAAAAGAGGTGAATTTATCTTACATACTAACAGGGACAGATCTGTAGGTTGCAAAGGGATGCATATAGCATGATATCAATTATGTTTAAAAACACCAACAAAATCCCATTTTGTTTGTGGGCCTATATGTGTGTACATATACGTGCATAGAAAATGTCCAGAAAGAAACATGAAGTGGTGAGTGGAGGACCTTTGTTTAGATGGGGAGAGGGAGAGGTACAAAGATGCTCAAAGAGGGTTTTAGCTTCATCTTCCATGTTTTAATTTAAAAGAAAAAGTACTTAGATTGCATGTGCCCATAGATTCTAAAGAACTTTACTTGTAATACATATTTATATGACTATTGACTTGTCATAACCTCCATCAGGAAGTTATAAAACTGCTCATCCTTGGAAATGAAACTTGTGCTGCATTATCACCCAAGTTAACTTTTTAAGGGTAAAAATCGCAGAAGGCATCTGACAAGTTAAATTCGACTCTCACAAGTTCAAATCAATAAGTCAACTAGGACTCATAATAGTTTGGAGGACACCCAACTTCTCTTTGATGGCAAGAATAAGAAATACGGAGTGCATTTAAATGAATCTGGGGTCTCTCAAATGATGAATCAAAGTCAAAGTGACGGATTGCTTAATTCATCCAAACAGGAGTTTTATTGCTAGGGCGCCAACAAGTTTTCGGCGATGGCATTAAGCTTTTCACAACAATAGCGACAGGACACTGGAGTGCGAGTTTTGACAAGGGGGAAACCGAGCCGCAGAGAGCTCAGAGTTCGGTGTGAGGTGACATTTAGGAAATGTCAAAGCTGGGACTCCCCCAGCCTTCTGTGCTTTCTGCCAGGCCACGCTGCCTGCTCTGATTCCACCAATGTGCCACACTGCGTCTCTGTAGCTAGTGTTCTCATCCCTAGCCATTATCTACCTATCTATCCATCCATCTATCCCTCTATCCATCCATCCCTCTATCCATCCATCCCTCTATCCATCCATCCATCCATCCCTCTATCCATCCATCTATCCCTCTATCCATCCATCCCTCTATCCATCCATTCATCCATCCCTCTATTCATCCCTCTATCCATCCATCCATCCATCCATCCATCCATCCATCCACCCACCCATCCATCCATCCATCATCTACCTCTGGAGGCCCTCCCCCAGCATCGCTGACCCCTAGGGAACCAGCCAAGCCTGCTCCTCTCCGCTTCCACCAGCCTTCCTCCGGCGCCCTCCACCTGTCCCCGGACTTGCCCGCTTGCTCGCACCGGCGCCCGCGAGGAGCCCGTTGGCTCGCACGGCCCGGGCAGGAGCCCAGGACTGCGCCCCGGAGTGGGGGTGGGGGTGAGGGTGGGGGTGGGGGTGGGGGGCCGGCGCGTGCCCCGGGCGCGGGGCTGGGTGTCGCGGCGCCCGGCACTCACCTTGCCCGTCGTGGGCGCCGCCGCCAGGAGCACCAGCACGAGCGGCAGCAGCAGCGCGGGCGGCCGGGGCGCCGTCCCGGGGCGCATGGTGGGCGCCCGCCGACCGCGCCGCGGTGCCCAGTGACCCGCAGGCTGGCGCGACGCGGGCCGGGGAGCCTGGCTGTGAAGCGCGCTGGCCGGCCCGCCCGGGGCGGGTTTTGTAGGGCTCCGCGGCGCCGCGCGTCCCTGCCCACCGGGGGCTCCCGCGGCGGCTCCGGGGGAGGGCGGACGCGGCCCGGGGCCCGCCCATCCCCTCACCAGGCAGCGTGCCCAGCGGGCGAGGAGGCTGCGCGGGGCCGGGGGCGCGGGTCGGGGTGGGAGCCCGGGGGTGCGCGGGGGGAGTGGCCAGCGGCCGTGCCCAGATTAAGCGCGCGGCGCGCGGGGCGGCGGCACTCGGGCGGCCCAGCCGCTCCCGGCTCCGGCTCCGGCTCCCCGCTCCCCGCTCCCCGCTCCGGCTCCGGCTCCCGCTCCCGGCTCCCCGCTCCGCGCTCCCCGCTCCCCCACCGGCCTCGCAGCCGCGCGTGGATCTGGACCCGGCGGAGCGGGACGCGCGGGCTGCGACCTGCGACCCTGCGGTTCCGGAGCGGCGGGTGTCCCCAGAGGTAAGCCGCTCCCCCCTCCGCCACCCCGGGGCTGGGCAATCGCGGCCCCTGCCCCCCCCCTTCCCCGGGACGAGGCAGGTGGCACCTGCCTGGGGTAGGGCACGGGGCGGTGGCAGCTGAGGGTGGGGCGCGCGGGGTGGGGAGTTGGGGTCCCGGGGTCACCAGAGGAGAGCTTGTCTGGCTCCCGGGCTTGTGTGCCCGGGCTTGAACTGGGCGCTGCGTTTTGATTAATTTGGAGGCTCGAATTACCAGCCTGGCAGTCCGGGCGCTCCGGGATGCCAAGAGCAAGAGGCAGCTCAGGGGAAAGAGAAAGCGCATCCTATTCTCTGCTGCGCTGAACTGGCCTTTCAGGGTGCAGCTTATCTGCGGAAGTGAAGAGGAAACCCAGAGCCAGCTCTGTCCAGTGCCGGGCTGGGGGGGGGGTCCCCCCTTCGCGGAGGCGGGGCCGGGGGCGGGCGTGCAGGATCTGGCTTGTCAGGGCCCTGCCTCCTGCCCTTGCCTGGGCCGCTCTCACTCACCACGTTGGTTCTGGGGAAGCATTTTGACCCCTCTTCAGAATCGTGTCATTAGATACACAAAATACCATTACCTCGGAATCGGTTTTACCTGGAATAGTTAAAGTCATGATAGGGCGACAGGTGTGCAACATTGTTATCGCCCGAAATACCCACATCGAGCAACAGATGGATCACACACCTGTAATCTCAAAAGTCGTGGTGACAGCAAAACTAAAACGGGACAGGGAAACAGCAGTGGGTGCGCTCTCAGGATCTGCCAGTGCAGGAAATGCTGCGCTTCCAGGCAAGGTTAGCCAAAAGAGACGTTGACTTTTTTTGTCACCAGACAGGTTCACAGACCACCTGAGTTGCCTCTCCACGTTAGGAACCCCCTGCTCTGGAGCAGCATTTGCTGACATCTACAGCAGTTATCATCAAACAAACACCATGTGCCAAGTGTGTGGTTTGGTCACTGATTGTGGAGAACCACTTACTTGCAATCAGAATAGGGTCTATTATTATTTGAGACCTATGTTGCCATGTAGGTAGACAAAACCCTGACAGTGAATGAAGATGTCTCTCTCCCCATTTGGGGGGGCTGGAGAGTGAATTTTACTGTCTTCTCTCTGTTTTTCATGCCAGCGATGTGCCAGCTGTGGCTGTGCCACCAGGATCGCCTAAGGAGCCTCTAAAAATCCTGACACCCAATTCATCCCAAGCCAATCACATCAGACTTTCCAGTGATAGGACTCAGGTGTGTTGTGAAGCTCCCTGGAGATGCCCATGGGCAACCAAGTTTGAGAACTACTGTTTTACATGCATATTTCAGTTAGCTGAATTGACTTAAGGTCTCCTCTTTGTAGAAAAAAATCAAAAGGATACATATTAAACACTCTGTGAAGACTTACTTGTGCCCAGGCTACAAACGTTGAAGTGTGGTACATGGTAGCTTCTCCCTATTGACAGAGAAGGCTCTTGTGGAACTTTCTCCTGTCACTCTTGTTAGATAGGACATCATGTGATCGGTTCATGAAATAAAAATGTCCAAGAATTCCAAGTATGATAATATTGCATGGACTGACATTTTCCCTAGAGGGGGAAAAAAAAACCCACAAAAAACCCTTGAAGCTAGTGCTAACTACTCTTTCTTTTTGCTGAATTCCAGAAGATTTCTCAATTTTGGTTTTTAATTGCTTGTTCCCGAAGCCAGGTCATTTTGACAGAAGATCAGACTTGGCTTCATTCCCTTTGGGAGGCTGCAGTCCACTGAGGGACACTTCTGATGCTGCAACAGAGCAGGAAAGACCCCTGTGATATAAATACGGTAAGGAGGAAGCAGTGGCCAAGAGCTTGGTCTCTGGGGTAGTTTCTGGATTCTGAATCCTTTCCACACGTACTAGTATGAGCTAACCTTTCCGGTCTGGGGTTTTCTCTATTGTAAAATGGGCATAATCATAGTAGTCACCTCAAGGAGTTGTAGGAATCCAGTGCAGTAATGCATGAGAAGCCCTTTTGTCCAGGGTCTTCACAAAACAACCATATATTGGGATCTGACTCTTCAGCTGCAGAAAAGGAAAATAGGGTGAACCTGATGAGAAATGGTGGCACCAGGTAAAGATGCTCTTCTCAGTTCAGTAAGAAAGGGGCAATGGCCAAGCACACCCCACTCACTCCCCTGAGGTCAACCGACTGCTAAGGCATCTGGAACCTTGCTACTACAAGCTCTGGCATTCTGGAGAGCTGGTTAGAAATGCAGTTTCAGGTACGACCCCAGACGCTTTGAATCCGAGCCTGCATACACCAAGGTCTCCAGCTGATTCCTCCTCACATGAAGCTTTGAGAAGTGGCTTGTCTAAAAGCCAGATTTCACCTCCTGTTCTTCACCTCCCCACCACAGACATGTATTGCCCTCTGGTACCGCACTGTATACCTGAAACTAATGCAATATTCTAGGTCAACTATACTCCAATTAAAAAAAAAAAAAAAAAAAAAAAAAAAAGGAAAGCCGTACACTAAAAAAAAAAAAAAAAGTTTGGTACACTCACTAGGTGGTGTCAGTAAACCAGGATTCCGTTTTTTAAAAAATAGTCTTGGGGTCAAGAGAGTTGATTTTTCAACTGTTGGTTCTTTAAATGTGATAAAGCAAAAGGAAGACAGGGATGGTTCTTTTTGTATGTGTCCAGCACACAGAGATCTCTACTTTTTACACTGATGGCAGATGAGGGTTTTGAACAAAGTGAAGTAACCATTGCCTCTAACAAGCCCGATATTATTATTTTGGCCCTGTTTCATAATCACGATATCATGTCTGTTTTCTACGCAGGGCTTAAAGGGGTGATGTTTGCTTCCCTGCATGTGAGTGGAAGCCCCACGAGGGCAGGGGTCTTTTTGGTGTTCTTTACTGTTGCTAAAAAAGTTGAATGACATAACCAATTTCCTCAGGATTCACACCACCTAGTGCTACGCTCATCATCTATGGATGAAGGCAGCCTTCTAGCTAATCCTCTGAAACCATCTTCTAAAACATTGTCAGAGTTCCACTTAAAATTGCACATTGTGTGGGAAAAGACGGATTGCTTTTGGAGCACACTTAAAAGCGATCTCTTAATTTCAGAGGCTTATGGGAACAAGATTTCTTCTCCCCATTTACATTACATATTCATCACAGTGTGTGTGTGTGTGTGGGGGGGGTGGTAAGAAAGGGGAGGATGCCCTGCTTATCCTAGCCACTCAGGAACCTACTAGAAATTTCCATACAACACGTTCTCTGATCTCAGAAGGAAAAGAGAATGTGCCAACTCAGAAGCTGTGCTAAAAGTTTCCACCTGGAGGTGACACATACTGCATATACACTCACATTTCATTGGCTACACTTCATTTTGTGAGTGATGGGGAATTAAAGTCTACCTCTTGCCTAGAGAGAGAGCTGGAAATATTTGGTGAATGTTAGTGATGCCCAGCATATACATCATACCACTTGCTTATTTTAAAGCTTCCAGAATCCCTTCTTTGTCTACTTACAGCTAATTTCACACTTCTTAGAACAGCATGGTCCAAAATCAACTTTTTTGGTACCGCATGTTACTTTTCTGGAGTACGAAAGCCTTTCGAGGGCAGGTACAGAGAGTGATTCTTTTTAAACATAAATGCAGCACGAAAAATGAATTTACTGCCCTGGCATTTTTGTACGAAGGTACAAAATGTGTACTGTTTAAGGTCCACGGTTCAAGGTGCAATCATCCTGTGAAACCAACAACACGATCGTGATACAGAGCTTTTCTCTCATTTCCTACCCCTGTCCATGTCTCTCTACTCCCGTGCCCAGGCAAACATGGATCTGCTTTCTGTCACTCTAGATTACTTGGCATTTTCTAGAATTTTATATAAATGGAATCAAACAGTATGTGCCCTTTTGTGTCTGGCTTCTTTGACTCAGCAGAATGATGTTGAGATCCATCCATGTCGTGTGTAACAGCAGCTTGTTTCTGTTGCTGAGCCGGATTCCATTGTATGGATATCAGCTTTTAAAATGCCATTTACCAGTGGTTGGATATTTGATTTGTTTCCAGTTTGGGGGCTATTACAGATAGAGCTCCCGTGAGTGTTTTTGTATGGGACGGGTATTTCCTTTTCTCTTGAATTTATACCCAAAAGCGAAATGGCTTGATGTATGTTTAAATATAAAAGAAACAGTTTTCCAAAGAAGTTGTATCGTTCTACATTCTCACTGGGAATGTATGAGAATTTCAGTTCCTCCATATATTTGTGGTGCATTATTTTAAATCTTATTTTTTTTAAAGATTTTATTTATTTATTCATGACACACACACACACACACACACACACAGAGGCAGAGACACAGGCAGAGGGAGAAGCAGGCTCCATGCAGGGAGCCCGACATGGGACTTGATCCCAGGACTCCAGGATCATGTCCTGGGCCGAAGGCAGGTCCTAAACCACTGAGCCATCCAGGGATCCCCTTAAATCTTATTCACTGGTTATACAATGGTATGTTAATGTGCTTTTCATTTGCCTGATGACTAATGATGTTGAACGTCTTTTCATGTACTTGTAAACAATTCATAGTACGTCTTCTGCGAGGTGTCTGTTCAAATCTATTCTTCATTTTATTTATTTATTTATTTTAAGATTTTCTTTATTTGAGAGAGAGTGAGAGTGAGAGAGAGAGAGATCATGGAGGGAGAGGGAGAAGGAGACAGACTCCCCACTAAGCAGGGAGCCTGACATGGGGCTCTATCCCAGGACCCTGAGATCATGACCTGAGCCAAAGGCAGATGCTTTAACCAACTGAGCCACCCAGGCACCCCTAATCTTCATTTAAAAAACATTGATTATTTCTCTTCTTACTGTTGATTTATAACCATTATTTATGTATTCTGGATACAATATCCCTGCCAGATATATTTACTGTGAATATTTTCTCCCATTCTGTGGCTTGTCTTTTCATTTCCTTAGTGATATCTTTTGAAAAGCAAATGTCTTTCTTTTAATGAAGCCCAATTTATCAACTTTTTCTTTTTTTGGTTCATACTTTTCTTGTTACTCCATATTCTTCACTTAAGCTTACAAAGATTTCACCTGTTTTCTTCTTTTGTAATATTTTTATGATTTAAGTCAATGATCCTAAGTTAATTTAGTGGTATGGTATGAAGCAAGGATCTATTTTAAATTTTCCTTTCTGTGTGGATATCCAGTTGTTCCGGCACCATTTACTGAAAAGACTACTCTTTCTCCGCTAAATTGTCTTAACATCTCCATAGAAAATAAATTAATCTCCTATATTTGGGTCTTTTGTTTGTTTCCCTGATGTACCCGTCTCTACTTTCACCAATACCACATTTCCTTTTTACTATAGCTTTAGAGCAAGTCTTGAAATCAAGGTATATAGAAGTTCTCCAACTTTGTCGTTGTTGTTTTAGAAGCTAGATTATGCTCTTCTAGATAATTTGACCTTCTGTATATGTGGATTTGAGGATATTTGTGTCTATGTTCATGAGGGATATCGATCTGTAGTTTTCTTGTAATATCCTTGTCTGTTTGGCATCTGAGTAATACTAGCCTCATAAAATGAGTTGCTCAGCATCTCCCTCTTCTATTTTCTGTAAAAGTATGTGAAGAATTGTCATCATTTCTTCCTTAACTATTTGATAGCATTCACTGGTGAATCCAGCTGAAGGTTCTGAATGACTCAACTAATCAATCATGAATTTAATTGATATAGGGCTATTCAGATTTTCTATTGCTTCTTGTGTCAGTTTTGATAATTTTCATCTTTCATGAAATGTGTTCATTTTTATACATTGTCAAATTTATTGGTATATGATTTTTCAGAAGATTCTGTAATGATCTTTTTAATACCTGTAGATCTGTAATGTTTTTCTCTTTTTCTTTTCTGACATTGGTAATTTCTCAAGTAGATAAATTTTATTTTTCTTTTCAAAAAAACTGAAGAACCAACTTAGAATTTCTTTCATTTTTCTCTATTGCTTGGGTGCTTCCTCTCTTATTGAGTTCTTTTTCTACCTTTATTTTTAATTAGCCTTTACTTCAGGATTAATTTTTTTCTTCTTTTCATAGTTTTCTAACTAGAGACTTAGATCATTGATTTTAGATTTTTCTTCTTTCCTAATATGAACATTTATAGATATATTTTCTTTCTCTGGGCTGGTTAAGTTATATCTCACACATTTTGATGTGCTGTTTTCATTATCATTCGGTTCAAAATATTGCCTTTCACCCATGGGTTATTTGGAGTGTGTCAATTTCCAAATATTTGGAAATTTCCTGGATGGTTTATGGTTGAATTGTAATACAATGATCCACAAGATCTTAGTCTTTTGAAATCTTTCGAGACTAGTTTTATACTTCGGGATATGGTCTATCTTGATGAACACACCACATCCATTTAGAAAAATATATATTCTGCAGTTGTTGGGTGTGGTGTTTTATATATAAATTAGAGCAGGATGCTTGATGCTGTTGTTCAGGTCTTCTGTGTCTTGACTGATACTTTCTACCTTGTTCTGTCAATTACCAAGAGAAGTGTTAGTCTCTAACTATGTTTGAGAATTTAGCTATATCTTCTTTTAGTTTTGCTCTAGGTATTTTGAAATTCTGCTATGATGCTCATATTTATAATACTTAGAGCTTTCTGGTACATTAACTTTTTTATCATTACTTTGTATTCAAATCTATTTTGTGTGCTGTTGGCATAGCCAGTCTTTCTTATGTGTTGTGTGGATATTTTTTTCTAGCCTTTGCTTTCAATCTATTTTGTGTCTTTTTATTTAGTGTATCTTACAG